GATGGTCACCTGGCGGGGGCTGTCGGAGCCATCGGCGACGTCGCTGGGGGACACGTGGCCTGCAGCACTTAAGCAGGGGTGGCAGAGAAAGCAGAGTAGCCAACGTACCACGGAGGTAGCTGATGCCCGTCCACTCGATCTCGGTACAGAGGTACCGGCCATTCAAGGACATGCGCCTCAAGCTGCAGAACGTGTCGAGCACACTGTGGGACCGTTGAGCGATGGCTGGTGACAGGATGGAGATGCTTACTCCTTCCGTAGACTTGTTTTTATCTTGCCTAATTTGTGCTTCTTTATCTTGCCGTCGAGAAGCTTCTTGATGTCGTGGACCGTGTAGAAGTACGCAACGGCGATCATATCGACTGCCTTTTTGAAGAGTTAATCGGCTCCGTCTATGACCGCCACAAGAGACGCTCACAGCACCAATTCTGCCGTGTGTGACTGCTGCCGGGTCATCACCGATGGTGTAATTCATGAGGACCGCGAGCCACGCGCCCGGGAGGTCGTCTTGATCGGCCGCATCGCCGCCTGCCAGCTTGACTCTGAAGGCATGATGAGCGACCTGAAAAGTGCTCAGAAGTTGGCGCTCACATGTCGCCGATCATATATGAAACGGAGTTGTAAAGGAACGGCTTGAGCTTCCAGCCGGGGACCTGGTCGGTCAAGGTCTTGAGGGATGCGGACTGCCCCAGCTGGGGCCAGAACGATAGGCGCTCGGAGGGCAAGGGCGCATTCGTTCTTAATACGCGGCCTGACATAACGGTAAGAGGGAAGGAGGGCTTGGGGGCTTTCTCGCGGGTGGGGGCCTTATCTATGTCCCCGTGCGCTAGGGCTCGGCGGGAAAGCCGTGTGACACCGTCTTTACCGATCGAAGCCTTGTGCCACAATGGACAGCCACAATGTACAGGCCTGGCCAGGCTGTTGTGCACTGGGACTGGGACTGGGATGCAGGCGATTGATCGCGCACATTTCTCCACCCTGTTGACAATCCGGTCTTTGCACGGCTGTGTTCTGCACTGTAAGTCCGCGATAGAACGCGCACATGTGTGAGCTGCGAAATCTTTATGCAAGTGGGGGTTCGAATCCCGCCGAGTGCAGTGCATTTTTCAGACGCCAGGCCAGGCAGGGGCTTCACCCGCATTTCCTCCTGGAGGAATAGGTCTCGTTCGAGAAACGGTATATATATATATATATATTCGTGTACTTACATACATGAACTCGGGAATGCTGGGGGTGCGGTGAGGGTGGAGTCGTGGACTTGATGTCCTGTGCGAAATTGCGGCACTGTTCCTCGAGACGTCCGACAACCGGTCGAGCAGTGGGACTTGCGACCGGCCGACTGACATGTACAACCCGAGGGTAGATGGAGGCCGAGGATGACCACTCACATAAGGACTCGCGGTCGTGATATCGGGGAGCGCGCTTGTACATGCCCCTGAGTCGTTCGCAGAGAGGGATGTGGCCCGAGGATGCGAGTCTCTCCGCGAGAGGCCGACGACGTGTTCATCAGCGGGCCCTGGGACTGAATTTCCACCGGACGAGCCTTCGGAGGCTCCGGCGTGTTCCTCGTACGATCCCTGCGTGGCGGTGCCTGCCGCAACTCGGTTTTCCACATCGACGAGATCGAGGCTCCTGTAGAAGCCTCAGACTGCACTGTTGGCGTTCTCGACAGGTGTTCCGAGCTTCTCGGCGACTGGGTGGAAGTATTTGCTGAAGGCGCTGACAGCCTCATCGCGAGAGAGTTGGTGGAGTCGATACTGGGACAAGGTCTTCTCGATGAAAACACGAACCGGGGCATACTCAGCCTCGCTTCCAACGATGCTCGTCCCGGTTCGTGCCTCGACTCCTCCGGTCGCGGTGCTCGTACTTCCGCTGGTTGGTGGTGCATCAGGCATGGAGTTGGTGACTCGATAGATTTGAATGGAATGATTTTTATGTAGCTCGAAAATCTCGAGTCGCGCCTGGCAGCAGCACGGAAGGGTGTGAGCAAGGCGGACGAGCGCGAGTGTGAGAGCCTCGCCTACTCACCTGGCAGCAGCACGGAAGGGTTGGGCTGGCATGGAGCCGCCCTGCGTCCTCCTCGTACTGCCAGGCGAGAGGGGCTCGCGCCACGCACGCCATTGACTCGTCAGAAGCACCCGTTAGGGGTTGGAGCTCCCGGGTTGTGTGGCATGGGGCGTGGGCGCGGGCGCGTCGAGGTGCGCGTGGGCCTCCCACTGGAGGGTGCACGGCAGCGCGCGCGCGCACTTCTCGGGGGACGCGCGGCGGCGGAGACATGTGCGGCGTGTTCAGCGCGTCCACTTGGAGGACTGGCCGCTCTCGCGATGGGCCAGCTCGCGGGGAGAGGCGCCGGCTCTTCGCGCTCGTCTGAACGGGCTCAGACTTGGTGCCGGGCCGCTGCGCGGGCGACTCAACTCGTGTAAACCGCGTTTAAACACCGATGAATCGCCCGCGCGACTCGAGTTTTTGCTGATCCTTTTGGAGGGGGGAGATAGCTCGGTCGATGTGCACCAAAAGAAAAATAGAGCGAAACTCGGGCGCCCAGCCCTGGAGGCCCAGGCGCCCACGGTGCGCGATGCTGAGATTTCCGACGATAGGCTATGTACGTGCGGAAGATGGCAACGGGATCTGGGCCGGCGTTGATCAAGTTGGTAAGGACGACATGGTCGCCCTCAAATGCGCGATCAGACTTGTGCGTGGGGAGAGTGAAAGTGACTGGCTCATCATCGAGAGTGAGGGAAGCTCGGCGGGTGATCTTCCGTAGGGTACGAAGTTCTGGCTTGTCGGGCTGGACCATGTCGCCGAGCCGCAGAAGGCAGTGGAAACCCGTGAAGAGGAGCGCCATGAAAAGGTGATCATCATACGATCTGGGCGGGTACGTGGTGATAGCGCGTTGTAGGTCAGTGCACTCGAGGGCTCTCTTGCGCTGCACTGGTTTGCTCCGCATGCGCATGCAGCCCCTGAGAGTGCGCACGACCAGCGGATCGTTGCGGAGCTTGCGGACACCGGGGTAGTAGCTTTCGAGCGAGCTGCAGATGCCGGAAAGGTAGGAAGTGATGGAGCGGGGTTCGATGTGATAGGACATGTACACAACGTAGAAGGAGAGAATGTCGGCTGTGGGGGTGTAGGGGAAAGCATGTGCGTCGCAGAAAGCCAGATATGAGTTGAGATGAGAAGAGTACGTGGAGCGGGTGCTGGAGTCGAGCGCGTGGTCGCATGCTAGAGCGCGTTCCTGGTAGAACCGCTCTGTCGTCCACGGCTCGCGCAGTGGTTGCCTTGAACGGTGAGGCTGGAGTGTCATAATTCGAGCCGCCTCAGTACAGGTTATGCATAAATCCCTGTGAGAGTGCCCCGGGTTTATGCATGCAGTATATTATGCATGAACAAATATATGCATATAATCCCTTCATGCATACATTTATTCTGGAGTTAATGCCTGACAGCAAAACAGCACAGCTAGGGAATTGAACCCAGGACCTCACCAAAGCCAAATGTTGTGACCTCATTGACCACTACACCAAACTGCCATGTCTTGCCTCTCACACTCATATATTATATCCACTCTTTTCTACCACACACAATCATAGGTGGCCTACCTCGCTAGTTCAACAGTGCCTCTATGCATACAACCTGTCTATGCATACATCCTGTTTATGCATTAACCTGTTTATGCATAAAACAGGTTTATGCATAAGATTGGTTTATGCATAAGATGTGTTTATGCATACAATGTGCTTATGCATAAAATGGGTTTATGCATACAATGAATTTATGCATATGATGAGTGTTGCGGTCGCACAGGCGAGGTCAAGTGGGTGTGGATGAGGGTAGGTGCATGCACGCGGGAGAGGGGTCAATTAGGCAGGTACAGATGTTGTAGATGGGTAAGGATGGTAGTGTAGAGCTGCGAGTGTCCTCGTTGGCTTGCAGAGCGGGAGAGGAGAAAGAGTGGTGTTGGAGTGTGTCGTCTTGAGTTGTGTGGTTGCCGAAAGTAGAGTGGTAGTGACAAGCGTGAAGTGAGAAATAAGAAGTGAGACAAAGCGTTGTTGTGAGTGGGCGGCTATCGGCTAAGTCGTTGGGTGGCAGCGAACGGGCGGGCAACAGGCGGACGGGCGGACGGGCGGACAGGCGGACAGGCGGACGGGCGAATGGGCGAACGGGCGAGCGATGAGTGAGAGTCGGGGGGAGGAAACTGGATTCAATGGCCCGCAGGCATGTACATATATAAGAGGACCAGTGGGGCTCCTCGTCACAGAGAATGCGAATAGGGGGCGAGAGAAGCTAGGACTAGACGTTCGAGAAAGAGTCCGTGGCCAAAGCCCCGTCTGCGTACCCTCCTTGCCTGTCTCTCCACCAATGGTTCCAGCATTGTTTGATGCGTGTTGAGGGATATCTCGGGCGGAGCCAGAGTGGTGCGGCGCGACTATTTACAGAGCACAGGCTGCCCCCGTTCAGCCACGGTCGCTCGCACTCGCTCCGGCCCGGCCCTACCATCCCAACAGTGTTCGAATGGGCTTGCCGCAGCTTCGAGATGGCGTGTCAGGTACGACAGACGCTACAGTAGATACAAGGCATGTGAGTCTGAGGCCGTACGAGTGAACAGGAGAGGATAGAAAGGTATATGACGTATGGATGTATGGTGACTTGAGTGCAGATTGCCGCGCTTCATGTGCGAGTTGTATGTGAGATGGTCTGTGAACGGTTAGGACAACGGGAAACCCGACATGTGGGGGGAACGAAAGATCTCGACCCCGAGATCCGGAAGCGCAGAAGGGACCAAGTTGAACCAACTACACCCAGGGCACGCACCCCGCCTGCACCCGCAACAGCTCGTCAATATTCGTCAACATGGTGATGGCCGAGAGCGTGCCGGGGTCGAGAACATTGAAGGAATAGTCGAGCATGGAGCCAGCGCTGGGCGTTGGGCTTGGGTACATGGCACCAGCGAGGTTTGGGAGCATACAGATGCAGCATGCACCAAGGGTGATGGGGTTGTCGAGGTTGTGAGGACACATGTTGAGCACGATGTGGTGGATGTTGATGTCAGGATACGGCAGGTGCACGAGTGGGACGGTTGCGAGGCGAAGCGGGTCGTAGTCGGCGTTGCAGCGCCCGGGTGTTGCCCATTGAAGAGCCACGTGGCGCAAACGTGGCAGAGGCGCAAGGGTAGATTGGTAGCCGGACCTAAAGAAGAACAACTTCAAGCAGGACACGGGTGCGGACGCGCACATCAGTGGCCCATAGAGCTCGCGCAGGCGGTAGGATCCGCTCAGGAGATGCTCCTCAACGACATATGGTCCAGCCCAGCGCAGAGCGGATTTCACCGCGACTTGTGTATTGAGCGACGACTCATGCAGAAGGACCCACTCACCTGGTTGGAAGCCGTTGGCGCGGATATGTGTAGCGTGCTTCTCGTTCCATGCGTCAACAGTGGCACGTCGCGTGCGGGTCAGAGTGTCGACAGCATTCCCAATCGCAGACTCATTCCAAGACAGTTGGAGGAGACGCGTCGCGAGTAGGGTGGTGTGATCAGTAGCCGACACCCAGTCCAAGACTTCCCAAGCACGGTCAGCAAGGTCGAATGGGAAGAGGCACTCTTGCCCGTAGACGAGGTAGTAGGGGGTGTAGCCTGTAGCACTGGAGACGGTGGCGCGGACGGCGAGAAGGGCGGCGTGGAGGAAAGATTTCTAGTGCTTGGTGTTGGTGTACGACAGCTCGCAGGCATGAAAGATCGCCTTCTTGAGGGTCCCTCCAGATCATTCGGCGATGACGACAACATTATACTTGTCTAGGAGCAGCGCCGTAGCACCCTTGAACTCCGCGCCACCATCACAGACGACTGTGATGGCGCTACCGAATCGCGTGATGACGTGCTCATAGAGAAAGTGGGCCCATGCTTTTGCGGAGTTAGTCTTGGAAGCAACAGCTTCTTCCCATTTGCTCGTAGCGTCAACAGCATGGAAGAGGTATCGGTGAGAACCTGGCATGAAGATAGTGTCAATGTGGAAACGGCGAAGGGCGCACGGAGAGATGGTGACAGTGTTCAAGGGAGCGTGTGGCCTGTGTACAGAGCGGTATTGACAGGTGTTGCAAGAGCGCACGAACCAGATGACATTGTCGTACATCTTCGGCCAGTAGTAACGGTCTTGAAGTGCACGGAGTGCGGGCAGCGCCCCGCGGTGACCACAGTCATTGTGGGCAGAGGCGATGCGACGGATACGATTAGCCGGGTCTGTGAGGACCAGGACCGCAGTCTTGTCAGGTCGTAAGTGGTAGATGTGGGAGTTGGAGACCACAAAGCGCGCGCCCATCCTAGTGACAGTGCGAAGCAGCGTAGGGTCTTGCGGTGGAACGCCGGACATCCGGAAGCGCATGAATGCCTCCCAAGGGGGCTCGTCTGGGACGCAGTGGTCCACGCGAGGCTCAGCAGCAGGGCGGAGAGGTTCGATTGGATAGACCCCAACCACAGGCGACGTGTCGCGGCCAAGCCTGGGACCAAGGTACATGTTCCACGACTGGGATGACATAATTGGAGAAGTACTCACGACTGAACGTACCACGCTTGGCATCCATGAAGGCCAATGCCGTGTGCCGTATGGAGATGACATGGACAAGGAGGTCGAGTTCGCGGTTGTTGAGGAAGCCTTCAGGGACCTTCTCTAGGATGAGGTTGAGGCGGTCATCCATCAGTTGGTCGCATGGTGTGAAGTCGGATCTAGGTGCCGGTTCCTAGGGCAGCGGGGGCAGATCGATGTCAGGGAGAGGCTTGAAAACTTGCAAGGACATGTCGGGCATTGAGGCTGGAACTGGGTGGACCTTACGGGAGACTGGCTTGTAGTGTTGGCCAGGGAAGACGAAAGTTTCGAGGGCTGTGTGAGAAAGAGTGTGGTGTACATATGGTGAGCAGAGTGGAGTGGAAGGAACAGGCGAAGCGAACTCGGCCTGGCGCAGCAGGACCCAGGTAGTCAAAGGAACTGGGAGGAGCGAACAAGCGAGCATACTCGACTTCACTGGCGTCGTGAGTGTAGTCGGGATGCCCTAGGCGGACATTCAGGGTGTGCCCAAAACAGGGAGGAGGATGCGGACGGGCGCAATGCTTGTCTACATCCTCTGTCAAAAACCTGGCGTGTTGACCTCCGATGCAACCGAGAACGTTAGCACGAGGCGATCCACATTGTGTGGATGATCCTCATCGCACAGCGTAATTGTCATCGCCACACCTCTTACCGGATTACTGGACAGGTACACCGTCAGCGTCATCTTGCCTGAACGCGTGTGCTTGATCGTACCTGCAAAGTAAGATAGCCATGGTTGGCCCAGAATGCCATCGTACGGTGAGCGGTTAGTGGGGCTGACGAAGAAATGATGGTCGAAGTTATGCCCCACCTGTGGTTACCACTTTGTTAACAATATTCCCCAGGTTTGTTAAAAGCCCCGCCAGACGTTACAACGCATGCCCAGGCTTGTTAACAACCCCGTAAGCCACTAATAGCACCATTTACGTAGTGCTACGCAGCATTCAGGTGGATATATTGGGCTGGAATGAGTGGTCAATAGGTGGCTATGGATGGCTGTATATAGAGAAATGCATTTGGGTGGTTACGGGCTGCCCAAATAGGGGGAAATAGCTGGTATTTGCCCATAAATGGCCAGCTTGGGGTGCAGCACTGGGTGGGAAAACCATCAGGCACTAGTCATAAATCAACAGGGGTATCAAACAGCTTTCCAAAGAACCTAAGATTATGTTGATCAGAGCAGTATTGATGGAGATATGGGTGTACCCCCATTTTGGCCGATGGGGGCCACGGCTAGAATCAGAAATTGTGGATGGAATATCCTGGTTCTTGTTGCATTTCGTGTGGATTGCCGTCTACTGAGTGGGATTGAAATCCGATAGGAGAAACACCTACTTGTTACAGAATAGATTGCTGATTATGCTTCAGCCACAGCACTTTTGATGCCTCAATAGCTACCCCCCATACTCTCCGATAAGCATTCGACTTTTTGCATTCTCTTCTGCTAGCATATGGAAAAGGGCTCCAGATGTTATTTTGATCTGAAGATCCCTCAGACTGTCCCTGCGCAGCAGTGTACATTGACACTCTACCACTTCACCCTTCCATACCCACTTCATATATTCATCTGGTTCTTTTTGCACTATTTGAGCATTCACCCCATCTCCAGGATGTTGCACTCAAAAGTGTTATCAGTGCTTCTTTGGCCCTTATCAATTCTTATCTCTCTGGAACATACTACCCCGATCTGCTCGCAAATCATGTTTCGATAATCATGCACTAGACAGATCTGGAAAAGGCCAAGGTGCACCTATCCAACGCAACAAGAATCATGAAAATTGGTGGAGAACTGTCGTACCTGACACGCCATCTCGAAGCTGCGGCAAGCCCATTCGAACACTGTTGGGATGGTAGGGCCGGGCCGGAGCGAGTGCGAGCGACCGTGGCTGAACGGGGGCAGCCTGTGCTCTGTAAATAGTCGCGCCGCACCACTCTGGCTCCGCCCGAGATATCCCTCAACACGCATCAAACAATGCTGGAACCATTGGTGGAGAGACAGGCAAGGAGGGTACGCAGACGGGGCTTTGGCCACGGACTCTTTCTCGAACGTCTAGTCCTAGCTTCTCTCGCCCCCTATTCGCATTCTCTGTGACGAGGAGCCCCACTGGTCCTCTTATATATGTACATGCCTGCGGGCCATTGAATCCAGTTTCCTCCCCCCGACTCTCACTCATCGCTCGCCCGTTCGCCCATTCGCCCGTCCGCCTGTCCGCCTGTCCGCCCGTCCGCCCGTCCGCCTGTTGCCCGCCCGTTCGCTGCCACCCAACGACTTAGCCGATAGCCGCCCACTCACAACAACGCTTTGTCTCACTTCTTATTTCTCACTTCACGCTTGTCACTACCACTCTACTTTCGGCAACCACACAACTCAAGACGACACACTCCAACACCACTCTTTCTCCTCTCCCGCTCTGCAAGCCAACGAGGACACTCGCAGCTCTACACTACCATCCTTACCCATCTACAACATCTGTACCTGCCTAATTGACCCCTCTCCCGCGTGCATGCACCTACCCTCATCCACACCCACTTGACCTCGCCTGTGCGACCGCAACACTCATCATATGCATAAATTCATTGTATGCATAAACCCATTTTATGCATAAGCACATTGTATGCATAAACACATCTTATGCATAAACCAATCTTATGCATAAACCTGTTTTATGCATAAACAGGTTAATGCATAAACAGGATGTATGCATAGACAGGTTGTATGCATAGAGGCACTGTTGAACTAGCGAGGTAGGCCACCTATGATTGTGTGTGGTAGAAAAGAGTGGATATAATATATGAGTGTGAGAGGCAAGACATGGCAGTTTGGTGTAGTGGTCAATGAGGTCACAACATTTGGCTTTGGTGAGGTCCTGGGTTCAATTCCCTAGCTGTGCTGTTTTGCTGTCAGGCATTAACTCCAGAATAAATGTATGCATGAAGGGATTATATGCATATATTTGTTCATGCATAATATACTGCATGCATAAACCCGGGGCACTCTAACAGGGTTTTATGCATATCATGTACTGCTATGTATGCATAATTCCCGGTCCCCCAGCGCATCCCGAGGGGGTGTAAAGGTGACAATGTTCAGGAGGGGATCGATGGTGTACGCCTTCTCCAGCAGGCCGCGAGAGAGCGCATCGGCGACAGGGTTGTACTCACCCGGGATGTGGTCAATACGATAGGTGCAGTCACAGTCGATCAAGACATCGACGGCCGAGATTAGCATGCGGTTCATGTCTGGGGATGCCGACAGGGTGGTATACATTGCCACGGAGTTGGCGCTGTCCGAGAGAATGGCGAGACGACGGATATGACGTCCGGCAGCGCGCCATCTTGGAAGGCGATGAATGGCGCTGCAGACGGTGAGGGCTTCAGCAGCGAAGCTGTCGGAAGGGGAGAGTTGCGCAGGGAGGGCGGAGACGAGCCCGAGGTGGCGCCATGGGAAGTAAATGCCCATTCCCCGGCCGGAGGCGTCAGTGATCACAAGTTCGTCCTCGAGGGACCATTCGTCGAGATCCACAGGCGTCCAGGCTGCTGCAGCAAAGATGCGCACTCTTGGGAGTGTGTCAATGCGACGGAGGAACCACTCGAGATCCCGAGTGATGCCGCTGTTGATATAAGCCTTGGTGTGTGGGTCGGACTTGTTGGAGAGCTTGTGGTAGATATGCGCGAGGCACGGGCGGAGGAGGGGGAAAACGTTGAGGGCCCAGTTAATGTGACCAGCCAGTGCCTGGAACTCGTGGATGGAACGACGGCGGTGTCCGGGGGTGCAGGTGATGAACTTCTGGATGGTGGCGATAAGGTTCGCTTTGCAGTCTTCTGGGAGAGTGAATGAGAAGCGGTCAATGTCGACGGAGAAACCAATGTATGGTAGGCACGGTCCCCAGAGTTGTTTCCGGCGCTCGTACGGGATACCGAGGTCGTCGTAAAGGGACAGGAGGCGTGCGAGCGGCGATGGGATGTGTTCCTGGAAAGGAGCAAACCAGACGAGGTCATCGCGACGAGCCCCGGATGCGTCGTCATCAACATAGCCGGCCATGTAGAGTATATTATATATAGTCTCGGCTATCCAGAAGACGAGGGAGTAAAACGCGGACCAGCACTTGAGAGAGCCACGATGGCCGAACGGGAGGTTGTGGTCAACGTGACGATGTCCATCCGCTGTGTCGATCTGCAGCAGCTGCTGCAGCGGAGCTACAGGGAGGTTGCGGTAAGCATGGGCAACGTCCGACTTCCAAAGCAGTATGGGTACACCAGGGAAACCGGCGGCGATCTTTTTAAGGGAGTCTCCGAGAATGGGCACTCCATCGAGCACGGCGCCCTTGATAGCTTCTGGTGGGACGAGAGAGTTGACAGAATGTTTGCCGTATGACAAGTGGTTGATGAGGCGTATTTTTTTCGAATTGGGTTTGGGAATCGCGAAGATAGGCATTGCGACCATGCCTGGCAAGAGGTCCTGCCCGAAAGAAGGAGAGGGCCATCGCCCAGCAGACATCTCCTCGTCACGTTGCTCCCGCAGGAACGCCCGGGCCGTCTCGTACGTGGGGGGCGATCCAACAGCGTCCCACGTAGTAGGATACAAGTCAGGTTTGTCTTCTGTGTACGGCCAAAATCCAGAACGTAGACCATTGATAACGGAGCGAACAAAAGGCTGGTTAGGATGGTGCTCAAGAAGCTGTGCGAAACGGTCGACTTTAATAGAGGTTACGATGGGGGAGAGATTGGGATGAGATGCAATGGTGTGGGAGGCAACAGGGTCACGAAGGAAAGAAGCAGGCGGCGAAGGAAGAGGTGGATGAGTAAGAGAAACATCGCCAAAACGACGTCTGGGGGAACTGTGATCACCCCAGGCGATGCCGCGAAGGTACGTCGGCACCGCGACAGCGCGCGGGCGGTCAGACCGTAGACGAAGGGTGTTGCGGTCGCGCGCGCGAGATCGCGGGAGCGCGGGTGAGGTCGAGCGGGCGCGGACAAGGGTAGGCGCACGTGCGCGGGAGAGGGTGTCGATTAGGCGGGTACGGGTGGCGTAAGCGTGTAAGGACGGTAGTGTAGAAGCGCGAGTGTCCTCGTTGGCTCGCAGAGCGGGAGGGAAGGAAAGGCGGGGGATGACGAGGGAGCCTGAGGCAATCGCGTGCCGAGGCAGGGATGCGGAGGCGGGCATATAAACCATGTACACTAATTAGTGGCTGCGTGATCGTATGCTAAGACGTCCGTTGCGGGTGCGCGCCGATGCTCGTAAACGGATATGCGGAGCAGGCCATAACAAAGGGCATTGTGGTCGGGGATGGCCGCCACTGTGGCAGGCGGAGCAGACGTGTTTGTATCGGCACGTGGCAGCATCGTGTGCGATGCTGAAATTGAAGCGGCGGCACGCTTCTTCAGACATGGAGCCCCGTCGAGCGGAGTTGCTGCCACCACCTCGTCCTGGACCTGGGTTCCGCCGACTAGGTCCAGGGACCGTTGACGCGTGCAAGACGTTCGCACCACCGGAGTCGACGAACTGGAGGCGAAGGTCCGCGAAGTCCGCAGTGTCGGTGAAAAGGAGGTCTCGATTGAGGGCAACGCGCTTCCGCACGGCCCGGTCGTAGTCGAGGACACGGTGAGCTAGGGAAATGTGGAGGGCAGCGAACAGGCTGATAATCTGCTTGTTATAGGCGGCGCAGATGGGCGCGAGGTCGGGGAGGGCGATCGCATAGGCCGCGCTTGCGTCCTGCCAGGCAACGACCCAGTCGCCGGAGCACTTGACGGTGCGAGAGGGGCGAGTCGTGCCAAGAGAGAGAGAGAGAGAGAGGGCAGTTCAATCACCTCCTCTACCGGAGGTGATCCCGGAACGCTACTTAGATAAGCACGGCAGCACGCCGACTCCCGCACTGTCCTGTAGACGCCCCGTCGTCCGACGAGTGGCCGCACGAGCACATGTCTAATATAGTATATACGAAAGTCACGAAATCGAGAGTTCGAGGCCATCGGCGATCCTGTGCTTCTGTTTCTCGTCTGAAACCGTCGAGTATCGGCCCGAGAAGACTTGGTCATGGTCAACGGGCTTGCCCCGGAGGATGTTGTCCCACTCGGAGATGGCGAACTCGGGAATGCTGGGGGTGTTGAGAAGATCGGTGAGGGTGGACTTGATGTCCCGCGCGAAATTGCGGTACTGTTCCTCGAGACGTCCGACAACCGGTCGAGCAGTGGGACTTGCGACAGGCCGACTGACAACCCAAGGGTAGATGGAGGCGTCAGACTTCGACTTCTTATGCGAGTGGCCATCCTCGGAGTCGTCGTCGGAGTCGTGGTCGCGATATCGGGGAGCGCGCTTGTGCCCCTGAGTCGTTCGCAGAGAGGGACCGGGGATGCGAGTCTCTCCACGAGAGGGCGACGACTAACCGTGTCTGTCTCGCCCGACGACGTGTTCATCGACGGGCCCTGGGACTGATTGTCCACCAGACGAGCCTTCGGCAGCTCCGGCGTGTTCCTCATACGATCCCTGCGGGCGATTCATCGCGAGGTCAGTCTTTCGTAGCGCTGGGTCGGAGTGCCGGCCCGTCCCATGACAATTCTGCATGTCAAATCTCCCAGTCCAGATTGGTCTGATCACGCTGCGTTGCTGGTGTTAGAGCTCCTCTGCGGCCCGCTGCGGTGCCCCCCCCTCTCTTCGGCCATCCAAGCGTCGCAGAATTGAGACAGCAACGACTAAAGGTCCAGAGGACGTGGACCCGCATCCGGTGCACACAGAATTCCTCCGGGAGGCAGTGGTTTCCGGTCTGCAAAGTAGACTCGTCACCACTCAGGGCCTTCTGGGTCCGGTTCTTCTGGATTCCGCGTGGTCACAGGTGTGGATAGCAGTGTCGTGTGCGGCCTCTGTCTGTTACGGTCGCGGAG